CGCTTCTGTCTTCAACGAGTGGAATATCAATAGAAAATGTTCTTGAAGTCATGATATCACTCTCTTTCGACTTAAAGAAAGAACACACAAATGCGCATATAGTTTTGAAACTACGCAGACATTATATTTATTTATACATATTTAATCATCAGTGTTCTAAATTCCAGGTTGTTTGACTCAGCAAAAGCTCTAGCCTTTAGCAATGTACCAACTCGTGAACAGGTGATTGTGGATCTATGTATCTATAAACTCGTAACTTGGTAATGCAGACCACTTTATTTAGCCCTCGTTTGATTTCCATTATTTTCAAAATGTATTTTTCTCTCTTATTTTCAACCACACATTATTCAATAAAATAACATTACACGCAAGTTTAAAACTTTTTCTTATTTTTTAACCACACATTCTCCATCAAATCACTATTACAAAATGCATTTTTGACAAATAATGTGGCTCAAACAGGCCCTTAATTATTTTATCATTATCTGCCACCTATCGTTGTAGCCTGGTAGTCTTTGTGTTTACCTGTCACTACCACATTCAACATGTTGCAGGTGAAAGATGCCATATTTAAAACTCTGATAAGGAATGGGATGTTTGATGACGCACACATCAGGCTCACCCTGACTCGTGGGAAGAAGGTAGGCAGATGCTATTCTTATTTTGGTTCCCTCCTTGTAGAAGAGGCAAATTTTGAAATATTTATGTAACTTGGAGTTGCTGTTATACAAGTGCAATATGACATAAATGGTCGATTGGTAAATTCTGAAGAAGCATAAGCCATATTTAGGTCCTGGTGAGAGTGTAGAATACAGAGAGCTCTCCTAATAAATTGTTAAACTTTCTGTTCCTCCAAAAGTGCCCCAACTAAGCCTTTTGGTGATAATTATATGCTTATTGTAATTCCTTCCTGATTATCTTTATGGTTATGGTGCAAGTGCTAATTTGGGAGGGCCAAGAAAACATTTTCCTCTGCTAAGAATAGGACTTAAATCACTAGCAACATGGAAATAATCCTTTCCCCACTTGGCATTCCCTTGGTCAAAAAAAGAAAATTTCTCATAAAAGAAAGTTTGTTATAATACCCCTAAGCTAACTGGACTGCGATATGCTAATGTAGTATATATAGCTTAAACTGATCATGTTCTGTTTGAATTTTACTCCACTTCCCTCAAAGAAACAAATAAAATAGAACAGAACTGAGGTACTTAAATGTTTAGATTATCAAAATCTTGTGGTTGCACTGATAGGAAAATAGAAGAAAATGCCTTGCGGCCTGGTACGCACACTATCACTGACAATTCAGTGTTCAGTACTTAAATATTGCTGGTCATGACAAAAAAACCACAAACTAAGCTTTATTCCCATAGTTAAATATGGGCAAAGCAAGGAATAAGATATTGCAGTATTGAACTGCCAATACTTCATTTTCATACCAACCATGTTTCTTGATACTTTTTATAGCCAAAGGATTGCATTCATGGATATATTTGCATTTGCTATGTTTAATGGTATATATATTTCCATATAAATTCCCCCGTTTTGACATCCGGAACCTCCTGTTCCCTGGATGTATGTTTCCAAAAGTCTTACTTGGGTGTTCCACATTTATAATTTGTAGCGTAGATTATAACATTGGTTTATGCTTTCAGTCATCCTATTGTCTGGTTTTCCAGGTAACTTCTGGAATGAGCCCAGCACTAAACCTTTATGGATGTACTTTAGTCGGTAAGATACATGTGTTTATTATCTTACATAAGTAGCATTGTCTGTGGCATATGCTATGACAGAGTTGAGGCTATATAACTGTTCAGCTATAATGACCAGTTTTTAAATCTTGGGTGGTCCGTGGGCATCTGCAATCCCATTCCCCCTTCTCATTTCCGAAAGATCATGTATCTGATGAATGAACATTTTCCATAGAACAAGAGTGTAAAACAACCAATTGAGACTAAAAATCATGTTCCACATTTTACATCAATGGCAAAACATAAGCTCTATTTATTTATTTTTATTTATCTCCTTTGACTTCCTCCTTAACCATTCCCGACGAGAAAATGTTGATGTAACATAAATTTATAAGCTAAAAAGATCTCATCAAATTGTCCAAAGAATTAACGAAGTTGCACTATGTTTTCAGCAGGAGATGAGAAATAACTTTCTTGGACCTTTCTGTAATGCACCCGATTCATTAAGTTCTCGTTTTCTCAAATATGATGGAACCTTGTTGAAAAGAGTTTATTGATATATTGGAGTCTGTCT